CTATATTAATGTGATTGCTTTTCTTTTTGCTATGAATGGAGCTCCTCCTTAATCCATGTGAGCTCCATCCTTTTAAAAGCAGAGCTGCTGTCTTTATCCTTGCAAAGCCATTCTGTTCTTCATCCTAACTGCAATCTCAGCTTATGCTTAGTTCCTCTGAGCTCCAGTCTACTTTTACCACTTCAGGCCACCAAGCCCCAGAAGTTCTACCCAAAGCTCTCCCTCAGGCAGTTCCCCATTCCCCATTGCCCTGTCAGCCTTACATGGCTGCTGTCCACTACCTGCAATCTAGAGTCTGAAACAGTTAGAATGCATTTCCAGGCATTTTGTAAATTGCAGGAAGAGTTGTGTAGCTTCAGTGTTGTTTTAATTTTTTTTCTCTATGCAATTCTTCTGGTTTTGAATGAGAAGCAATCCTGACAAGGTTGTGCAAACAAAATCATTTGATAAAGCCTCTAGATGATTTGTGGTCACAGTAACACAGGGGAATTTCTCTTATAGTCTCAGCCTTGCCAAATCTTCTTTTTCTGGAATTCATTGCAAACATTTGCTTTAGGTTTCTGAGCCACTTTGGAAGTATTCCCAGATAGTTCTGGATAGCCGTCTCTTCAGACAAATAGGAAATTTACATTTTGCTATTTCTTTTTCTTGTTATACTTTTTCTTAACCTTTTTTTGAGCTCATCAGCTTGGGAAAAGTTAGATAAATTATAGGGGCAATAGGCTGGAGTTAAGATGGGAGGATGGATTTGTGTTCAATAGGGTTACTTAATTAGAGTTTATTTTCTGAGTCCTTTGGGTATTGTTTTGATTTTGTGTTTTTAAACTGGAATTTTCCTGAGTACATATGCATCAAGAGAAATTTGATCCTGAGGAAATTACATTGTCCTGAGGAGATCGATATTTGACACAGCTACAATTCACGTTTTATTTTCAGTTGCGATATGTGGATGTACTAATATCATCCCCGGAATGTGAGCAGGAGCATACTGTGTTGCCACTGTTATAGTGGCTTTTGGCCATGAATGTGTGAGTAGTCTTCAGCAGGAAACCTGAACACAAACCTTTCCTTCAGAGGCAGAGGTAGGAGTAACATTAAAACATTCCAACTGGTGTAAACATACTGGCTTGCAAAGTTAAAAGATCTATACTTTCAGGGGACTTTTTAATGTTAATACGATGTCGGAAATTTTGGTTTTATCAGTAAGTGGAAAATCCTTTTAAATTACCAACTTGGCTATTTGTGTTAAACAAATTTGATATCCTACAACCTTTCTGTAAGTAGAATGTTGAATTATAATTTCAAGCAGCACGCTTATCTAAGACAGTTAAGGAATGTTGATCATGTTTGCTGTGGGAAGCGTGGCACTTAGGGTTTGTTGCTTATCTCTGTTGGTAGAGATGTAGAGGGATTAAGGACTGCTGTTTTTGTCTTTCTCCAATGCAAAGGTAAAATATTTGTGTAAAAAAAACAAACAACATCCCCCTCCCCCCCAAAAAAAAAGGTTGCTATCACACTAAGGTTTGTTAGGCTTTGATAGAGATGTTGTGAGAGAGAGAAGTCCTGAAGTTCAGTTAAACTCAGTGTCATTAACATGTCTGAAGCTGCCCACCAAGCACATCACTTGCAGCCTGTAGCTACTAGTGGCAAGCAACTTGTGTGTGGTTGTTTTGTTGTTGGTTTTTTTATATACAATAATCGTCAAATTTAAAGTTATCAGACACTGGTTTTAGTGCAGTTTTATTAAAAACTATAGTATTTATGACAGCAGTAGCGATGTAATGCACTGATATACAGCAAAGAAATGAGTTAAGAAGGAAGTGCCACATATTCCTAAAAAAAGCTTGCTTTAAAAGGTGAATACATATAGTAATTTTTTGGCTAGAGATATTAATAACAATTATTAATAATATGGATATTTCTATTTCATGGTATTCTATAAAATACCATAGTTTTCTAAAGCATAATTCCAGTGTGTTACCAAACACATTTTGACAATGAGATGTTACAGTTGTTGTTAGGGGTGCTTGACATGCCTTGTGTCATTTCGCTGTGTGGAAAATTCCTTTCTTGCTTTTACAGTTTGTGGTCAGCTTCATCAACTGGTACTATAAGTACTTGGTACTGTTTATTTATTGTTTTTACACTGTTTTGAATTCTGTTGCTTTTGTGTTATACTTAAAACCATAAGGAAAGTCTGAGAGTTTCTTTTCAGCCTGTGCTCAACATGACCAATCATTTTATTGTATTTAAGTTTCCTGATGGTCTTTCTGAATTTTGTCACATAATGGTCTTCTAAATCAATACTAACCTCCAGTAGCTGGTCTTTCTCACACATTGCTTGTTTGACGGTCTAATTGTGATTTTTCAGGCAAATTCATCTTTGTCTATTTTCCTAGAGCATTGGCCTCCTCCACCAGATGGACAAAAGCTTTTTGGAGCCAAGCTAGTCACCTTTATTAAAGAGCCCTTAATCCATTCATTGTTTAGGGCATATTGATTGATAGCAGAAAGGCATCTGCATTGAGTTCTCTTGTGGGTATACCAATGTCCATGAAGCAATTATCAGTTACTGCTAGAGCTGCAGCCAGGGCAAAGGGGAAGATGCCTGCAAAGCAACTGCATGTGCAGTTTCCAGTAGGATATTGCTAAGTAAAAGAAGAATTTTAATTGAACCTACTTTACACCAACAAGACACATTCATACCTATATGAGAGGAGTGGGAAAAGACATTTTGAGTTGTTTGGAGCATTTCAGAGTAGGGGGCTCAATTATGTTGATACAGGTGGAGTTTCATGCTTAGTGCTGAGAGGCATAACTTGTCCTGCTGCTCGCTGCATTCTCTTCTCCATCTGGAGCCTAGTTTAATACTTGTTCTTTCAGGGAATTATTTTGGTGTGGTGATGCTGGATGTTGCCACTGTGGGCTTTGAATATGGTTATAACTGTAAGTGAAGCATCTCTTTCTCTAGTATTTAGTGCTAAACAGACTGTTCCATGGCCAAAAAGAAGAGAGATCCTTTTCTTTGAGGGATTCAGGTGTTTGTGTTACGTGTCTAACTAGATAAATGTTATAAGAATAGAATATTGTATCTCTCAACCAGTCCCTTAGCATTTGAGACACACTTGAGTCTTACAGAAAAAGGCTGCATTAGAAGTGCATCAGCTCAGGCTGCAGCCTGGGAGGATGCTCATGGAAACTGCTCAGGCTGTGGGGATGCACACAAGGCCAGGTGGTATTTTACATAGAACACTTTTCCTTCTCTAAGTTCTACTGCTGGGTTGTTGTTTTTTTTTTTGTTGGGTTTTTTTGTGTGTGTGTTTTGGTTTTTGTTGTTGTTGTTGTTTTGTTTGGTTGGTTTTGTTTTGTTTTGTTTTTTATCTAAAGTAGGAATGGAGAACCCACAAACCCAAGTACGACTTTTCTGTATCTTAGAAAGTTAGGCAGGTTTTATCTGGATGGAAAGCAGACCTTTTTCTTCCTCTTCTTTCTGTCCTCTAGTGACGTATTTAATATGCCAAAACATGTTGTAGTAATTAATTCGCTCCAAAAGGAAGAAATGTGAAGATACTTTTACAATAGTCAAAATTTTCTTGACCACCAAGATTAGTGGTCAGCTCTAATGGTAGCATTGGTATAGTAGTTATAATAATAAATTTTTCCCAACAATTTGGGGTTTGTGCAAACAGCTAGCAAAATTCAAAACTAAAAATATTAGACCTCTACAACTAAAATGTGGATCTTCCTTTCTCAATCTGCAGATAATGTAAAATCTTTCAGATTGCATACAAATGAAAGGAGCAGTCTGTAAATTCTTGTGGTAGAAATAGAATTGTTCTGTGTCACCAGAACAATTTTGTTAGCCAATCTTAATAGGTATAGATACAATGTAAAACAAATTATTAGTAAATAAAAAACCCCTAAGCTCCTAAAAGCAGAATGTGGAGGGGTTATGAATCAGTAGAAGGTGGCTGTTTTTTAGAGCTTGTAATTTGTAGTAATATGACATCAATCCTACTGTAAAAATCTGTTTGAGCATAATGCAGTCTGATATATCTTTGGTTGAAAGAGATTTTGAGACAAGCTCACTCTCTTCCCCTACAGAGCATTATCAGATGGGACCATTATTAATGAGGAGCTTTGCCTAATTACCTTGATTAGTATTTTTATGACTAATGGGGTGAACCTGGGAGGGTGCAAACTTAGATTGATTACAAGAAACCAAAAAAGTTCTAGTAGCAGTACCTGTCTAGAAGAGTTCTCAAAGCTGAACAGTGACACCAGGCATTTCCATCATGTTTTGTTTTTAATGCAGAGCAGAAACCTCCCAAACTTTTCAGATGCTTACAGAAATAATCAACTTCTGAACTCCGTGACAAATGTTGTTTGTGTATAAATTTAACTGTGAAAACGTTTGAGTGGCTTCAAAATTAGAGGGGTGGCAAGCACATTGGACACAGTAAAACATCACTTGGAATAATTAGCATAGTGGGTACACAGCCAACAATATGTTCCTCAACCCAACAGATGTGAAGAAATACCTTAAGGAGAGGAAAAAGTCAAAACAGATAACAGAAGTGTGAAAAACTTACCATAGTAATCATGTTAAAAGCTGATTCTGAGAATGCTTATGTATTTTTGTGTAATGGGGTCACCAAGGTGCTGGGGAAGATTTGCTGTTGGAGGACTGGGAAAAGAGCCGGAGGTGGGCTTCAGCCTGGCCACAGTTGCAGGTGCTCAGGTTGGTCAGGCTGCTGGAGAGCTGCCTTGTGGGGATGGTCTTTCTTGTTAATTCCAAAAATTTACCTGAGAGTTTCTAACTTAAATATACGAGTACTCATTTCAGTCTGGAAGTTGCTTTGGATGGCGTGTAAGCACAGTGTCACTCACAGAGGTGAGAGCTTCCTATTGGCAATGACAGGACTGTAGTCGGTAATGTGTGACCTTGCATGTTGAATGTACAAACAGTTATGACGATTTTATAAATCTTCTCTTTTCAGACTCCTGCTGAACAGGCCAAAGCTAGATTACAGCTGGTTCTTGAGGCAGCTGGTAAGTGTGGCTGTTGTAAGTAAAATTATATTCTTCAAAATGTGTTTAACTTTTCTGTTTGGCAAATGCCAAGCCCCTTTCTCCATAGCTCACTTCAATTTCTAGTTAAGATGAAAGTGGTGTGCATCACCATTGGCATTTAGTAAATCCTTTTAAGGAGATAAAAATAAGTATTTTTTGTTCGCTGTTCGGAACCAGCACTCAGATTTCATGTGTTTCTCCTCTTGCTGCTGCTGCTACTGAGACTTATTCTGTGCTCTCAAAAATTTGTTGTTTTTTTTTTATTTATTTATTTTTTAGCACTGAACTGAATTAGTACATGTATATATTTGTATTTATTTATTTGAAGTGGTAGCTGAAATATGTAGTAAGCTTTCCAAAAGGCTGAGACTAAGAGGCTAGTCTACATATTAATTCTCCATGGAGAGAAGCATTCCTATGTTGTCCAGGGCTAGTAAGAAGGAAGGCAAATTGTATATCTTGGTAACTGTTTTTAATTTTGCATTAATTTAACTAATTTAAAGAAAAATTGGAGAAATCCTGTAGTTCAGTGGAAGATCTAAAACTTTAAAGTAACTGTCCTATTGTACCAAAGATGAGAAAATCATTCCTTTTATCCTGCCTTTTTTGCAAATGTTGTGTTGAAGTCCATGTTACTGATCAGAGACATGGTTGTTCCCAAATGGAGAGAAGTTCCACTTGTTTGGTTTATTTTTACTAATATAATAGTGTTCAGTCTGCAGCTTTGACATGCACTGCGTCATTTTTCCCCTGTTGGAAATTGCTGTGGATTTCAGCTATGGTGTAACTTAGGCCAGGGTCCATTTTGCTATTTGCCACCGTAGGTTGCATGCCTTTGTGGTGATATGCTGTATCAGGATGCTTGCTCTTCACTGGCTTTGATGCAGAGGCTTTTGTCCTCTCTTCACTCAGTCTCCAAATGGTTATTTACATGAGCTGCATGTGGCTTCATGCACTTGCAGTGCAGTTGTGAAAACTTTACTCAAAAATCTTACACTGTAGTAGGGCTGTGGTAATTAAAAAAAAAAATATAAATTCATAACAATCCTTTTATATAACATTGCTGGAAGTTCTTTAGATACTTGCATTTGTCTTCAAAATGTTAAAATGATGATTTAGCTCTGAAGTGGTAGGCTGTGGTGAGCTTTGTGATCCTAATTAATTTCTTTTTCTTTTTTTCTTTTTTTTCCATTAGAACTTTGTCAGTTTGTCATGCAAAAAGGAAAGCTTTCAGTATTTCATATGCATTGTTATAAAAACGTTTTTGTTTTAGTTCAGCTTTCATCTCTCATATATATATGTATACACACACACTTTTAACTTAGAAACAGCAACTTCCAATAAATACCTTTTTTTTATTTCTTTATCTTATGGAAACCTTCTGTTCTAAGGAATACCGATCTTCTCACATTGTTTGCTCTTGTTCATTTTGCTTTGGGTTTGGTTTTGGGTTTTTTTTTTTTAATGCATCTAGCCTTTTGTATTGTGTAGCTTCAGATGCATTCATTCTTCTCCATAACTTTTAATAAATCTTTGACGCATATAATTATAAAAGAGATGTGACAGTACTGACCTAAAAAAGCACAATTCTTATATACTACTCACATCTATCACACCTTATTTTTTAATTTAACACCAGAGAAATGTATAAAAGATATCTGTGGGTTGTATATCATCATGACCTAGGTCCCCAAAATTTTTGAAAATATATAAAAGGTCTATGACATTGTTAATTTCAAATATTCACAACTGAAGTCTGAAACTTAGATTGAATTTGGAAGCTGTTTATAAATAACTCAAGAGAGTTAATCTCTTCGTTTCTCTTACCATCCAAAAATACAGAAAGAAGTTATTTCCTGGCTTTATATAAATCTTGGCGATCTCAGGCATTTGAGATCATTCCCCCTCCTTCTTCACCCATCCTATATTCATCAATTAAATTGAATTTTTATTAAATTAGTGTGAAAGGAGTGTTGGAAATGTTAATAATGTTGTTTCAATATATTTTTGTGTGTTTACTCATTGCAAAATCAGTACTTTTTTTCATCTTTAAGGAAAAAACAAAAAAACTGCCTTAGACTGTGACTGAGCAGCTTTTCAAGGAGTTCACAATCAACAGGTTTATGTCAATTACGTTGCTGTTGTAGTATGATGTTGTAGGATTGAATTAGAATATAATGTAAATTTAAATCTGTACTTTAGCAATAATGAACAAAGCTTTTTACATATGCAGTGCTTGATAAAGGACCCATCCCAAACTTGTGAATTAAGTTGTAGAGTATCTGACATTACTGTGGGATTGGAGCAATTCCCAGGTGTGGAAAAAAGTTGTACTTTATTCAAAATGTACCGTCTACGTTTTAATGGTTGTTAATAACTCTGTGCTCCTCTATGGTTTGGCCAAACAAAGCAATCTTACCTTCTACAATGGCTCAAAATTGTTCAGGAGCAAGTCGTTAGTATTGGTTCTTGTTTAATTTGCAACTTCTCTGAGTACCTGGTACTTACATAGAATTTGATGTGTGGGCTTAAGTTCAGGTGTTTTCTTCAAATATGGCACAGTAACAAATACATATTTGTATGCAGTATACGTATTTTTTAAGAGAAGGCATTTGGGCTGTTGCTCTATCAGAGAGTGGAATGTCTGAGGATATTTTGTCCAAATTTAAAAGGAGGAGTTCCCAACGTTTCTTCAAGCATAGGAAATGTCAGTCCAAAAGCTGGTTGCACTCTGTTCATGTGGTTTAGCTGGTAAAACAGTTAACCTGGCTTTCATGCCAAGTACCACAGGCAATGGGATGAGCTACAAGAGGCACTTTATAAGGAGCCTGATTTCCAAAAGTATTTAGGTACAAAAAAGTTTAGATGGTCCTTGTTTTGCAATATTCTTCTTCTAGTGTTTCAGTGAACTATTTACATGTTAGAGTTGTCATCTCAGTCTGAAGATCATAGAATCACTTAGGTTGGAAAAGACGCTTAAGATTATCAGGTCCTGGCACTGCCAAGTCCATCCCTAAATCATGGCCCCAAGTGCCACATCTACAGGTATTTAAAACACCTCCAGCGGTGGTGACTCCAACACTTCCCTGGGCAGCCAGTTCCAATGCTTGACAACCCTTTCAGTGAAGAAAATTTTCCTAACATTTAATTCAAAGATGTTTGTGTGTATCTTTTTTTTTTTTGTTTTCCTTCACTTCACATCAACCTATTGACATGGAAATTCTGGCTTTATCCCTGTGGCTTTATAAGCGAGAGAAAGTGGTGTATTGAAATACACTAATAATGTTATCAATTTACAGAATATAGGTTTGAAAGTGCTTTCAGTATGTCAGCCTTTTTAAGTCCTGTCCTAGTACAATGGCCATAGTTTTAAAAAAGTTAATTATACATTACAGTGTTCCCTTTGCTCTTCACTGCTTTCTTCATTACCAGAGATGCTCGATTTCAGGGAAGGCAGGTCCAGTGGCCAACTGATAAGCTTCAGTGGGAATTAAAGATAATTAGTATCTTGTGGAAGTCTGCTTTTAGAATCTTAAAGATTAATTTAGGACATAACAACTGATTTCTCTGAAAGACAAAGTAAACCATACTCTTTTTAATTGGAATTTTATTCCTGGTGTGTTTTGGTAATGGGAATTGTGACTTCTGTTGTCTTGTGGGAGAGCTGGTAAAATATGAAATATTCACCCCTATATGGAGGGGAGGATGGAGAAGATGGTCACTTTTACGCTCAGGTAATACAGTGCTGTCAGCAAGTTGTGTCTCCAAGCCCTTCATTCATCATTCATGCTGACTTTGCTATGCACTTTCTTAATTTTTTTTTTTTAATGTAATGTTAAAGTCTTTGTTCTCATTAAGCAGTACAATACTTGCAGATACCGAAGCACTCTGCTTTAATTTATAAGGCAACCGAGTTTTGATTTATAAAAATTGTCATTCATTCAGTAGAAATTGTTGGTCTGGGCTATAAATTTATGTTTGCACAACTTTATTTACTTACATTTCATAATATTGAAGTATCAGAAAGCCTTTTTATCATCCTCTAACATTATCACAGCAACTTGCCACGTTTGAGCAGATGTTAAGCAGGCAATAGTTGAATGTTAATTTTGAGAGGGTGGTATGTTTAAGCCTATCTGAAGTATGTTGCATGTGGGCCTTCCAGACTTAGCTACAATGCTTTGTCTCGGGAGAATTTTAAAGCTAAACCTCTTTCTTTTTGTCACTCTATATGGACTCTCTCAAGTCAGTATAAAGCAGATCATCCCTAGGCTAAAGCTCTTCAGCTTTTGTTATTGGGCTCTGTAGACCTGTAATTAGGCCTCCTGGCAGGCCTTGCAGGCCGGTTAATGGTCATATGGAGTTTCTGTGAGGCAGACTGGCTTTGTATAAATCCTTCGTAGGGATACGTTCATGGGTCACTTCCTACCAGGACCAGGCTTTGTGCTGCTGCCCCACGGGCTGACAGGGAGCAGGTTCCCTTGACCATCGATAGCTCAGTTTGCAGTGCACAATCTACCCGGCTAATCCCCAGTGTAAACAGAGGATTTAGCTGAGCTTCTGTCACTTACAGTTGCCAAACCACTTGGGTGTCTGTGATTTCTTTCCCAGACTTCATTACCAAGAGATGGAGAAGCACAGAAGATTTGAGCTGGGGTTTTGTGCTAAACATTTGCTTGCTCATATTGCTTATTTTAAGGAAAAAGTTTGCCCTGCTTCGAATCCTGCCTTGCTAAAACCTATAAACTTAACCAAAAATGTCAAAACTTTAAAGCTGGTTAATTTCAGCTGTGAATTGTTGTATGGCACCCATGTTTTCTCATAAAGATTAAAATATGGGTAAAGATTCAAAAAATGTAAATGCAGTGATATGAGAAATAGCATGTGGATATTTCAAGTTATCAATATTGCTGCCTTTACTAAAGGAGCCTGAAAATTTTTCTATGGTGATAAGCAGATATTTCTTACTCTCCATATAA